TTAAACAGGGACGAAGGTAATCTAATCTTAAAACAATGAAATTTCAGGGCCGTAGCCAGACAAAAATTATGACCGAGGCATTTTCCATTAAAAAAAAAAAAAAAAAAAAGGAAAAAAGTTCAACAAAACCAAATTAAGATGTGCTCGCTAATCAAAGTAGCTGAAGTTTTTAAGCTACTTAAAGACTGAGCAAAAGAAGAGGAGTCAGGTTTAGGCTGTGCGTTCTTCAGTTGGCACAAAATGTTGACAACAAAAATTCGGTCGTTATTAAAAACACCATGATCGATAGCACACCAGACCGGACTGAACTTCCTGACTTTTACCTAAGAGCTTTCTTCTCTGACTTTTAAGTGATCTGTGGCATCTCCGAAGGGAAAAAAAACACTAAAACGCTCTGGCCACGTAACACAATCGACACGCATTCACCGATCGTATTTACCTGATAAAAGTAAGGATTAGGTTCTGATTCTCCCACCCCGTTAAAATCTTGCACGTCGATCAGCTGATTATCAAAGAAAAAGCCAGGATTCTCCACACAGTATTCTGGCCAAGTGTGAACATGAGGCAGATCGCCAAGTTTGTTATACCTCCAGTTATAGAGACTGCACAAGCTGGAAAATAAAGAAAACAAGTGCAACGGTTACAGTGGGGTCAATAACTGGAACAAGTTCATTCCAAACGCTAAGGCATGTCACCTGGGTATAATACTCACTTTGTTCACAAGGTTTCGCGCTTACCTTCGGCAGAAATCCCTCCGTGCTTCTACTGACAAAAGCACTGTTATTTTATGCTATATGGGAAAAGTTTAACAAGTACAAGGGGACCATTTCTTGACACGAAAATGAAGTCTGTCTAACGGAAAGCGCGGTCACCGAACTGTCAGAGCGTTGAACTTGGGATGGAGAAGTCCTGGTCACAGCCTTTGGCTTGGTCATTGTGAAGTGTTCTTAGGCAAGATACTTAACAAGGAGTTTTAAATGCGTACCGGTGAATTGTTGGGGAGATCTTTAAAAGAAGTGTCCAGGGAGGAGAACGTGGGAGGGGGGGGGGGGGGGGGAA